GCACATGGGAGACAGGGAGGGGCAGGTCTGTGTGAGTTTGAGGCCAGCCTGGTCTGTAGAGCAAGTTCCAGGACAGCTGGGGCTACACAGAGAAACTGCATCTTGAAAAAAGCAAAACAAATTTTGGAATAAAAACCACTTTTGTGTTTTGACACAAGGTCTCACTATATAGCCCAGACTGGCCTCGAACTCACCATTCTGTTGCCTCAGCCTCCCAAATGCTGGAATAGGGGTATACCATCATACCCATCCAAAACACTTATAACAAAAGTTCCCTCAAAGGCCCCTGGCAGGTCTTTTTTACATATGTGGGGTCCCCACATGTGTGTTTGTATATGTGTGTGGGTGAGCTAACCCATGCAGGCATGTGTAGAAGCCAGTGGTTTGTACATGTGTGTGGGTGAGCTAACCCATGCAGGCATGTGTAGAAGCCAGTGGCTGACATTGGGGTATCTTCCTCAGTTGTTTCTTCCTCTTTGAGACAAGGCCTCCCACTGAACTTGGCGCTCACATTTTCCCTAGACTGACGGTGAGCCCCGGGACCTGCCTTTCTCTGCTTTGTCTCCAGGGCTGCACACTTACCTTTTCTGTGAGAGCTGAAGTCGGGCCCTCTTGGGAACTGTGGGAGGGGTGTAGCTCAAACCTTCATCACAAAGCCCAGCACAGAGAAGAAATTTTCTCGTGGTGCCCAGCCACCCTGTGGCAGAGCTTGGCACCGTGGTCTCCATTCCAGCATCCTTTCCAGGACCCCAGCCCAGAAGGGCCATCTCCCTGGGGTGCGAGTGCAGCAGCAGAGACACTTCACAAATAGAGAGGCGCTCTCTCCATCGCCTCACTTTCTGCACTCAGGGAAATGTCCTCTCTGCCACCAACACATGGGCAGAGGCCAGGTCTGACCTGGAGTGCCCTCACCAGGTGATGCTGGTTCACACATCAGCAGTGTCTGTATTAAAGTGAGTGCAGGGCATCCTCAGAACCAAGCATCTTCAGGGGACCCGAAGGCCCCGCCGGCAACGGCTCACTAACATTTCTGTCTCTAACTGAGCCATGGTGCTAAAAGGCCAGCAAGAATTATCCATTGCAGTCATTGTGAGCCCACTCTGTGCTGGTCCTCAAAGCATCTCTTCTTCATCAGAACCAGGTTCCTGGGCACACATGGCAACTGAGATGTGTTGCTGACCTACTTTGGGGAGACAGTTTGAACAGAAGACACTTAGTCTTGGCTGGTAACAATATCTTTCTGTGGCTTTGTGCTTAGACTGAAAAACCTGGAGCTTACTGCTGTGGAAGGATCTGACGTCCACGTGAGGATGCTGGCAGCCCCTGTCAATCCGTCTGACATAAATATGATCCAAGGTAACCTTGGTCTCTAGAGCTTATGTTAATTGGCTCTGCTGCCTCCTTTCCACTCCTGCTCAGGTAGGGTATGAAATTCTCAGGATTAGCAGTGGCTGTCCATTAGAGGGGCTGTCTGCATACAGTATCGGCCCTCTAGTCAACCTCCAAATATGAGGCTCTGTGAGTTGGGAGGATTGCAGTTGTGGTAAACCTACCTCTCTGAAGAGCCTGTGACACTCTGGATTCCTTTCTTTCTTGTGCTTACCCTGATGATAACTGTGTACCACTGAATATTAGCTTACCCTGGTAATAACTGTGTACCACAGAGTATTAGCTTACCCTGATGATAACTGTACCACAGAATATTAGCTTACCTGATGATAACTGTGTACCACAGAGTATTAGCTTACCCTGGTGATAACTGTGTACCACAGAATATTAACTTTCCCTGGTGATAACTGTACTACAGAGTATTAGCTCCCCACAAAGACAGGAAAGCAGAAGGCCAGAGCTTAGTTAGGTGGACAGGTGGTGAGTGCAGGGCCCTGGTGGACTCAGATGTGAATAACCCCAAAGTCCAGGCCCTCACACCATCAACACTTCTAGAAGGAAGTTTGTTTGGGCATACAGTTCCAGAGGGTTAGCATCTGGGACAGCAGGACACAGGAGCAGGCATGAACAGGAAGCAGCTGAGGGCTCACATCCTGAACCCAGAACATAAAGCAAGACTAAGTATGGCACATGGCTTTGAAGACTGAATCCCACCCACAGTGACACTTCAACAAATCCAGACCTCCCCAAAAGGGTGCCGCCAGCTCAGGACCAAGTGTTCAAATATGCAAGTCAATGGGTAACACTTTTAGTCAGATCACATGTACCCTCTGGCTTCTTCTCTCCCAGGGAACTATGGCCTCCTTCCCAAGCTGCCTGCTGTTGGAGGGAATGAAGGCGTCGGACAGGTGGTAGCAGTGGGCAGCAGTGTGTCTCAACTGAAGCCGGGAGATTGGGTGATCCCAGCAAGTGCTGGTTTAGGTGAGTGTCCCCTGGCGTGAGCGGCCATTTCATTCTTCCAGATCCTAGCTCATCTACTCTGGAGACGTACACCCATTCGCTTGGTGTAACTGGCAGTGAAGGATTCATTGTTAAGTTCATAGGCCTGCCTCCAATAGCATGGAATTGAGCCAAGAGAGCAGAATCCTGTTTGCTGTGCCCTGGCGGGACATACCCACATGTCCATCTCCTTGGCTCCATGTTGATTGGAGCTATGAGGATCTGATTCCCAAGTCTGGGCTGTAAGGTGTGATGGTGCAGATTACAAATATGGCTGCCCCTGCCTTCAGGAGCACCAACAGAGGGAGTACCCCAACAGAGGGAGTACCCCAACAGAGGGAGTACCCCAAGGGCTGCTCTGCATGCATGTGTGTGAGACAGACATGCTCCTGAGGAAGATTTGAGCAAGGCTGTATAAGAAAGTCTGTAAGAACAGGTTGTTGGTGGAGAAGTTGTGCAGAGATGGGCCAAAAGGCCCTTCCTATGGAAAAAGCAAGCTGAGCAGACATCAGGGTGAGTTTGGGAAATGGAAATTCCAGTGTAGCCCCAGCTGAGGATTTGCCTGGGGGAGAGGTTACATAATGAGAAGGTTCCAGAGGTGGAGTGGGGCCCTGAAGAGCCAAGCTGAGGACAGCGTCTCATTTATGTATGGAAAAGTGTCGTCAGAGCGCTCTGCTTTTCAGCCCTTATGTTTTCAAGGCACGTCCATTATCCAAATGGATCTTCATGGGAGCCGCAAAAGGCAGTGTTCCCCAAGGTGGGCGAGGTGGCCTAAGGTTAGGAATGAAATAGAGACCAGAGGAGAGGGTAAGAGAGCTTTAGTAAAGTGGAGGTGGGAAGAGAGGGTCAGCACACCAGAGAAAGCTAAGAACTGGCACCTCTCGGCTTTGTCTCTTGAGCCCTTTATTAAGGTCCATGTGAGAACTGTTTTCTGCCCAGGATGAAATGAGCTTGGGACATGAAAATAGCTTCATTTCCTTAGGCAAGCTGAAGAAATAACCCACATTTTGTTTCTGTAGACTTTCTTTCTTTTTTTTTTTTTTCTTTTTTTCCTGACAGGGTAGACCAAGCTGGCCTCAGATTGACTCCACCTGCCTCTAGCTCCCAAGTACTGAGATTAAAGGTGTATGCCACCACATCCTGCCTTTTAAAAGATTTTTAAAGTTTTATTTAGTATGCGTGGGTATTTTACCAGCATATATTTGTGTGCCAAAAGCATGCAATGTCCTTGGAGGCCAGAAGAGGGCATCTGATTCCCTGGAACTGGAGTTAAAAAGGGTTGTGAGCCATCATGTGTGTGCTGGGAATTGAACCTAGGTCATCTTGAAGACTTTCAACCACGAAGCTGTCTTTCCAGCCCTTGTTTCTGTTGGCTTTTTACTTTAGGGTGGTGAAAGCCTGTTCTGTGTGGCCCCCAAGAGTACATGTTTGAGATAGCAGCTAGCTAACTGAACTGACTATCTCAGGCTTACCATTTATCTTTTTTTTCTCTCTAGTTTTTGGCCAGGAAGGGACACCTAACTCCACACTGTCATTAATTTACCCTTTAGCTTTGGGGCCAGTTTGAGGCCCCGGTCTTCTTTGTTCGTTCATTTTTACAAAATAATGACAAGCTGTTAAGGATTACATATAGAAATGTTAGTGTTTGAATCTTAGGTTGACCTATTTTAGTTTACTCCCCTGATTCCCTAACACCTTGTCCAGTAGAATAGCAGACAATATCTACCCAGACAAGCGTACAAGGAGCTAAAGCTTGGGAAGCAAAATTTGCGCAGACTCAAACACAGAGAGAGTGCCCAGTGGAGTCTTGTCTTGCGTGTTCCCACTATGCTCTATCAGGACTCTTTGGGCTATGACTTACTAAGCCTAACTTAAACTTGCTTTATTATTTTACATCACTGTGCATGTAACTTTCACTAGCACTCACACACTGCCAGCTTTTCTCTTTCCTCCAAGCCTTGCTCAAAATCTTCTACCCTCGATGCCCTTGTTCCATAGAGGGTAGCCTGGGGTTGTGTGTGCAGGGGTTCCTTCCTTACTACCTTGCCTCATCCTGACTCAGGAACCTGGCGGACTGAGGCCGTGTTCAGTGAGGAAGCGCTGATTGGAATCCCTAAGGATATCCCTCTCCAGAGCGCTGCTACCCTAGGTGTCAACCCTTGCACAGCCTACAGGATGTTGGTGGACTTTGAACAGCTGCAGCCAGGTAGGCACCTACAAGTTGAAGAAACAAGCACCCGGGTTTTCCCACTGGAGTGCAACACAAATCCTGGCCCAAAAGACTTGGGAACTCGCTGGCACATGTGGAGGGGGGGGGGGTCCCTAGGGGCAGTGACAAGTTTTAACCTGAGTAAATCTTATGCTTTAAGTTTAACATGTTCAATGGGTTCCTTGAAAACACTCGAGGACACACTGAGAAGTGCTGGTCACATTCCCCGGAGCTGGGGCTGGAATGCTGTCACCCAGCAAAAATGTGTTGAGCTGTGCTAAGCTTTGGGGACACAAAGCCAGGGGAGACAGACAGTGTCACTGTTTTCAATAAAATGCTGAACTTGGTGTTAATAATTCTGCTCAGCACTTCACAGCCCTGCCCTCGCATGAGCGCCTCATCTTCAGAGCAATGCAGAAGGTCCGGTTGGGGCATTAAGAACTCAAGCCCCAGGCAAACAAGCAGGGTCTGGACCCAGGCATCACCTCCATCACATCACTGCTCACCCATAAGATGGAGAGTGAAGGGGTGCCAGAGACTCGTGGGTCACCACAGTGTGATGTTTAGGCTTCCTTTCACCAGTGAGGGAACAAGTAAGCAGCCAGAAGTGTCACTCGAGTTCCTCTGAAAGCAAAAACCAAGCAGACCTTGGGGTAAACTGTTTGGGAAGTCGTCCCTAGCAGCAGGAGTGGGGGAAGTGGGACAGCAAGACAGGACAGAGGCAGAGCCCATTAAGACCACTTACTGCTGTCATCCCCATAATCCCCTAAGGGGCCTCATAAGATACACCGCAGAATTAACCCCCAAAAGACAGAAGACGGGCCAGTTTGGTTTTGTTGCTTTGAGGGGTTTTGTTTCCAGTTCTAGAAAAGAATCTGGGGCCTGGAACATGCCAAGCAGACTTCTGCCACTCCTCTATGCCCTCAGCCAGCCCTACCTTCCCCGTGTGTGAAGGCCCTCTCTGTATACTGCATACTGTGAGCCAAGCAGGGCTGTAGAAATCACCTACCATTCTTCTCTCATGCCAGTAAGGAACCGAGGCCAAGAGCTATTGGACTATGAAAAAACTAGATAGCCACCAACCAAGGCCCTCAGCCATGACAAGGGGAGTCTTGGGTGCCTGTGGTAGAGAGAGCCAGGTGTGGTGAGAGACTTGAGCATTCTAATAAAGCAGACACTGGGTGCCTCATCTCATGTTCTAGTCTGAGGTCACTCCTGATTAGGACAGCCCTGTGCTTGACAGAGCCAGGCATTCTGATGCTACCCACTTTAAGTGCCTGCAGGCCACATTTCCACCCTGCTGCCTCAGGGCTGATGAAGCCAAACAAATTCATGACCTGACCAAAGTAAGCACAAATGTCACACTGCTCACTAGAACATTTGCATAAATGAACGCAGATAGTGGAAAGCAGCGTTTGGCAGGCCGGCGCTTGCTCCAGTGTCTCTGTTGTTCTGCACTCCTGTCCTCTGATGAAACAGACCAGTGCTGCTGGCAGCCTACACGGTTGAGAACACACTAGCAAGAGACAGGCAAATGGGCATGCTTGACCCAGGAGTCTGCCACCAGCTTTAGCCCATTCTACACTGACTCTTGCTGACTTTCAAAACCAAATAGCAGATAGTGTTTCCCAGTCAGCAGAGCATCTTCCTGCTCACTTGGCTTCAGTCATAGATGCTCTGATAGGCACTCTCAGGCCTCCTGTTGTCTAAGGAAGACAAACTGAAGTTTGAAGAGGACGAGATGTGGCCTGTCTCATTTTGTTACAGTCAGTAGTGAAGGAGGATGCACACCCAGCTTCCTTGTGTTCCAGAGCCCATACTGCCTAGTGTAGCACACTGCCTCTTGAAGCACAATTTAAAAAAAAGAAAACTCAGAGAAATTGGGGTTCAACCTGGAGGTCAGAAAAGCAAAGCAGCCAGCCACTGGCTCTTACCTCTACCTCAGTCTGAAATGGCGATCCTGCCTCCAGGAATCTCAGAATGAGACTGTGTGAGAGCTGTCTCCTCCCATTTTATAATCCTCTCTAGTTAAAGACATGCACCATTACTGCCTGGTTTCTATGGCAAGCTAGTGTGGCTACTGGGATTGAAGGTGTGTGTCATTGCTGCCTGGTCTGTAAGGCAGCGTGGCTGTTTTACTTTCCTGATCCCCAGGCAAGCTTTATTTATTAAAATACAAATGAAATGCCATGCCACTACAGCCTCTCACGCTGGTGAAATGCAAAGCTAAGCCTGGGCTTTGAGCACAGTCATTCTGTAGGGGTGAGGGTAGCTCAGTGGTAAAGTGCTTGCCTGGCATGCTCAGGGCCATAGGTTCCACCCCTAGCACCACAAAGCAAAAGCAAATATTCTGTAGGGCCCTGGAGCTTCCCATTTCTCCAGTATGGCTCTCATCCATTTCAAGTGTACCTTTGCAGAGGGGAATAAGGTATAGATAGCCCTCCTCTAGGACTGCAGGTGACTGACAGATGTGGACCTAGGTACAGCTGTGTACAGGACACAGTTACAGCCTGGGCATTGGTGAGATCTCAGAGTCCTCATGAAGGAAACCACAGTTGAGCTGAACTAAAAAAAACAAATTGCGAATCAGAGACATCACCTGCACATGTGCCAGGGAGATGATTTAGCAAGCAAAAGTCCTTGCCACTGAGACTGACAACGTGAGTTTGACCCCTGAACCTGCATGTTAGAAAACCTATGCACCTGCAAGCTGTCCTCTGACCTACACATGCACATGTGCGCACACATATATATACACACAAAGAAATGCAACTTAAAAAAAAATAAATGGCCCAAGCAGAGAACAGAAGACATAAAAATTAGAAAGGCGTGACACACGCCTTTAATCCCAGCATTTGAGAGGCAGAGGCAGGTGGATCTCTGAGGTCAAGGCCAGCCTGGTCTACAGGACAAGATCCAGAAAAACCAGAGGTACACAGATAGAGAAATCCTGTCTGGAAAAACCAAACAACAATAACCAAAAGAATTTTTTTAAAAAAAAATGGGAAGATGATCAAGGTCAGGCACGTGGCCCCATGAAGCATTAGGGGTGTGGTAGAGTGTGGGAAGTAAGGAGTATCAGAGAGTAACAGTTCAAGGTCTGAGAAGGCTGTGCTGCTGGGTCCTAGATCTGCCCCAGGATCCCAGGCTGGGAGTCCCCAACCTGCCAAGGTTTGCAGGACTTGACTTGGATCTCTTCCACAGGGGACTCTGTCATCCAGAATGCATCAAACAGTGGAGTGGGGCAAGCAGTTATCCAGATCGCCTCAGCCCTCCGCCTAAAGACCATCAATATAGTCAGAGACAGGTATGGGGGGAAGTCTAATCCCATATTGGAAATTGGTACCCACAGGGTACCCACATCTCCACCAGATGGCGCACTTGTGTAAGCGTGAGTGATTGACCGCTGAAGCTCACGCATTCACCAGAGCAGAGAAGTCTGTGTCAAAGTCTGAAACAGAGATGTCAGAAGGAGGTAGAGGTGGTCCTTACCGGACAGTTGAGCTTGGCTTAATGTAACCCAGACTTTCAAAACCACAGCTCCCATTTGGGAGGGTCTTGAGGTGTACCATTGTGGTCCCCATCCACTTGGCATTTGTGCACTAATGCCAAACACAGCTGGGAAGGAGGTGGGGCAGGCTTGTGATCTCTTTTACAGCTGAGGAAGCTGAAGTTTCCAAGAGAGGAAGCAGCTTGCTCAGGAGGACACAGCAAGTCAGTAACAGACCGTCCTTCTTTCCGGTGTCCCCTCTAGTCCCTTTAAGCTTCACTGTGCTCCAGTGTGGCCTAGTCGCTCATGGAATCCGTTCTTACTATTAGTGCTTACTTCAGCCCGGACTCTGCAGTGACGATAAAGTGATTCTGTGTGCCCGGGCCAGAGTCCAGGGCCGCTGCACAAGAGTGTTTGCATGATGCCCTGAGTGCCTTGGAGTACAAGAGGAAAGAAGGTAGTGTCTGAACAGAACTAGGAAGGAGAGTGGCTCTTGCCTGGGGCCAGTAGTTCCAGCCTGTACACTGACAGGGTTTTCCAATTGTCTCCTGGCCTGGCACTGCAGGAAGGAACGGCAATGGGGAAATGAGGCAAGAGCTGGTGGGGCATGACTAAGTTATGTGACTGGCCCCTACTTGAGGTCTGGCTTAACCTCAATCCCAGGTCTCAAAACAGAAACAAATGTTCTCGAAGCTGTGGCAGAGGAGTCCTGGGAGCTTGAGAGAGGGAAGCTGGCCAGTGTGACCAAGGCTCTTATTGTGTTTGGTTTCCAGACCTGACATCCAGAAGCTAACTGACAGACTAAAGAATCTGGGAGCTGACTATGTCCTCACAGAGGAGGAGCTAAGGATCCCCGAGACAAAAACCATCTTCAAGGTACCCAGCCAGGGGCCAGGGCCGTGCTTAAGCAGTTAAGAACACTGTTGCTCTTGCAGGTGATCCGGGTTTGAGTCCCAGCACCCACATGGTGGCTCACAACCATCCATAACTCCAGTTCCAAGGGATCAGATGCCCTTGCCCTCTTCTGCTCTCCATGGGCACCAAGCACACACATGGTACACAGACAGACCTGCAGGCAAAACACTCATATCCACACACATAAAAGAAAACAAATCTTTAAAAATAGGCCAGGTGATAGTAGTACACACCTTTAATCCCAGCACTGGGGGGGGGGGGAGCAGAGGCAGGAGGATCTCTATGATTTCAAGGCTAATCTGGTCTGCAGAGCAAGTTTCAGTACAGCCAGGGCTACACAAAGAAACCCTGTCTCAAAATAAAATAAAATAATTAAAAACAAGGCCATCAGCTAGCGAACAATGCCCTCTGTCCTGTGCCATCCCCTGTAATTGGGAAGTCTGGGGCTGGCTCCTTGTTCTACCCTGACAACCACCTTCTCTTCTGGAAAGAGCAAAGCCTGTCCCAACCTCAGTATGGGACAACATGCTGTAAGTGCCCAGACACTGTGAAGGAGGCAGAAGCAGACAGACTGTAGGAAAGCTGAGGTTTTAAACATCTGTGGGATGCTCTATCAACCCACATGGCAGGTGGGACAGCAGCAGCAGACCCAGTAAGTGTGCGGCCTGGTTGGAGTGTTTCTGCACTAAACCATATGTAAGAACCAAATACCTGCTGTTGAATGCTTGCCCTGGAGAACAGTGTTGAAGTGGAGGTCAACACCTCACAGATAGGAACAACACCTCTCTGTTCCTGGACACTGACCAGAGACACTCTTTATCCGTGCTTCCCAGAGTCCCAGGGTGGGCAACAGGATGAAGCTGCTAAAGCCCTTCCTGGGCAGAAACACGTCCAAAAGTCACCCACGCCCCATTTCCTTCACTCTTTCTCCCTGGTACAGCACATGCTGCTTGTAGCAGCTTCGAACCCCACTGCAGCAGCTTGCACCTTCACGGTAGGCTCCTTACTTTCTAGGACGTGCCCCTGCCCCGACTGGCTCTCAATTGTGTTGGTGGGAAGAGTTCCACAGAGCTGCTACGGCACCTCGCGTAAGTTCCTCAACCGCGAGTAGGTTTCTATTGGGAGGGCTGCTGGTGACAGGTGTAACTCAGGAATTTGAGTGGCAGCACACCAGGACATTTTCCTGGCCTGCACTCCCCAGCCTCATCCTCTGTGCATAAGAAGCCTGGTCAGCTTCTTTTCCCCCAAAGACCCAGGAGTCTAACCTAGGAGCCTCTTAAAAAGTCACTCCCTAGCCTGCGGTGGTGGTGCACACCTTTAATCCCAGCACTTGGGAGGCAGAGGCAGGCAGATCTCTGGAGTTTGAGGCCAGGCTGGTCTACAGAGGGAGTTCTAGCACAGCCAGGACTGTCGGAAACCCTGTCACCGGGGAGGAAGGAGCTCCACTCACTGCTAACTGGAGTTACCTTCTAGCTGTGGACAGGTGAGCTGCGCGGCTGTGTTGAAAGTCAGCCTCTGCAGTGACCTTCGCGCTGTCCTGCAGCTCTAGGCAGCTGCTGCTACTCCAAATCTCTGTTTTGCTTTTCCTTTGGGTGCTGGAGTTGAACCAGGGCCTTGGGCACGCTAAGCACGTGTTCCATCGCTGAGCTGTGTCCCCCCACCCCATCTCCATTCTAGACTTTAAAAAATGAAGCCCAGAGAGAACAGTCACCTCATTCAAGGTATAGTTGGCAAGACAGCAAAAGTTGAGCCCGAGTTTCTCTTAACTACGGACACTCCTGTTCAGTCCATGAACAGTCTGTGAGGCTGACTGCATCCTCCGTATGGCTGTCAAAGGAAGCGGGGGTCACAAGTGTGGACACTGACATAGTTGTGAACCTGTGAAAAGTTAGGGCAAATATGAAAAAGACCAAGCCTCAGTCTCCTCATCTCTGAAATGGGAGTAGGAGTAGCGGCCGGTGTGAGACACTGAGGTGATGCAACAGTGGCGGGCTTCAACTCCCCTACAGAAGACACTGGTTTCTCCTGATGTGACTGCTAATTCATGGGGACAGTACAGATAACATGCTGGGAGCTGTGCTTGGTACAGGGGAGGGCTTCCCCAAGAACAATGCTTCTCAACCTCCTAATGCTGGGACCTACCCTTTAATACATACAGTTCCTCATGTTGTGGTGACTCCCAACCATAAAATTATCTCATTGCTACTTCATAACTAATTTTGCTAATTTTGAATTGTAATGTAAATAGCTGTGTTTCCCAATGGTCTTAGATGACCCCTGTGAAAGAGTTGTCCAACCCCAAAGGGGTCATGACCCACAGTTGAGAACCGCTGCCCTAGAAGCTTCTTTCCTGAGTGAGAGCCATTTGAGGGGAACTTTAAAGTCAAGCTAAGCCAGGCTTGTGGGGCACCCCTTAGCACTTCAGAAACTAAGGAAGAGAATTGCTGTGAGTTCCAGGCCAGACTGAGCTATGTGCCAAGTTTAAGGCAACCATAGGATACAGACGTAGTCACACACAGGCATGCACACAGAGACACGGCAGCACAGAGAGAAAACAAATAAGGAGCCCGAGGATACGGCTTAGAGCACGTGCTTAAACTGTGAAGAGGTAAGTACCGCCCAGCACTATGATTCACAGGTAGGAAGGGCCATACAGCAGTTACTTCCATTAGGTCCTTTGCAGTTTTCCTCAGTTGCTCTAAAATGTGCCTCAGGTCATTTTGATCAACCAACTGCTAAAAGACTCAAGGAGCAGGGAAGGCAGCAAAGGTTAAGTCTAGCGTATTCATTGTAAGAAATTACTTTAGAGCTGGGCATATTGGCACTTGCCTGGAATCTCAGCTGAGGCAGAAGGATTACAAATTAGATACCAGCCTGGGCTGCATGACCAGACCCTGCCTCAAAAACAAAATACTGCATTTGTGTCGTGCCTGTTTAACTGCTGAGATGTCTGTCAGACTGCAGGTTCCAACAAAGCCCCTTCCGGAGAGGACACTTAGCATTGTCACCTTCCCTGTCCACGTCACTCCTTCCTTAGCTGGCTCTCCATGTCATGGCAGAAATCTTTAGAGTGAGCACCTACAGATGAAGAGACAAGGCCTGATCCGACTTCATTACAACACTCAGATCGCACTTTTGTAGCTGTTAGTGGAACCCAGACTAAGCCTGGCTGTGAGCTCTGCTGTCCAGGAGATTCAGGACAGCACGCAGCCTCAGCCTCCGTGGGTGGACCAACCCTGGATCATTGTCTTGATTATCTGGAGCATGAGAGTGTGTGTCCCTGTATTTGGGTTTGAGACAGGGTGTCTCTCTGAAACTGGCCTTGAACTTAATCCTGCTGCCTCTGCCTCCCAACTGCTGAGACTATTGGCTTGTACCCCTGTGCCTCATTATGTTTGCTTGCTTGCTTTGTTTAAAACAGTCTCACTGGAACCTTGGCATGCCTGGAACTTTGTGGACCAGGCTTGCCTCAAATTCACAGGTCAGTCTGCCTCTCGAGGGCTGGGATTAAAGGCATGTGCCGCCATACCCAGCATGTGCATTATTTTTAATAAAAGTCCCTGCCTCGGGCTGGAGAGATGGCTCAGAAGTTAAGAGCATTGCCTGCTCTTCCAAAGGTCCTGAGTTCAATTCCTGGCAACCACATGGTGGCTCACAACCATCTGTGATGAGGTCTGGTGCCCTCTTCTGGCCTGCAGACATATACACAGATAGAATATTGTATACATAATAAATAAATAAATAAATATTTTTAAAAAATCCCTGCCTCCTAATTCCTTAAATCAGAGGCTTAAACTGGGAAGCTGTATTTTTTTTTTAACCTCCCCAGAGATTTCAAGAGCCAGAGTTGTTTCCTGTAAATGTCTTAGCAGGTTCCTCTTGGAGGACCTTAGGCCATGGTAGGTTCTGTCTCTGTCTGTACCCACTCTGCTCTTTGAACTCTGCAGGCCTGGAGGAACCATGGTGACCTATGGGGGAATGGCCAAGCAACCTGTAACAGCCTCTGTGGTAAGCTGGGGACCTGCAGCCCAGGGCTGGGATATCTCTTTCCTTGCCCTGCAGCCATCTAAACTCAGGGATCCATACCTGAAGCAATGCTTTAAGCTCTATTACTCGGAGCCCCAGCAAATCCTCCTGTGTCCACAGAGCCTGCTCATTTTTAAGGACCTCAGACTTCGGGGCTTCTGGTTGTCCCAGTGGAAAAAGAACCACAGTTCAGGTGAGTGGCTGATTGTCTGATACCAAGGGTCACCGGAGGGTAGAGCCTAGTATAAAGTGACCAGCTACTCTAAGACCTGCAGAGTGACAGAGTCCACAGCCTCGCAACAGGATTAAAGCATAGAGTTGACCACAGTCACAATCAGCGCATCACTTCTAGACTGGCCAGAGTCCAGAGAGATGGACCAGCCCTTGTCCCCAAGAGTTGACTGGGGGTGGTGGGGAAGCCTGCCAAGTAAAGAGAGTGGACTGGGTGTAATGGAATATGCATGTAATCCCAGCCCTAAGGGCTTAGGTAGAAGGATTGTGAGGCCAGAGCCATCCTTAGCTATACAGCTAGATACTGCTTCAAAAAAGGAAAAAACAAAAACAAAAAACCATTTACGTGGGGCTTCCAGCATCACCAGATCCAGGTCGCCCTGGCCTAGCTGCAGAACTGCCTTAGTTTAAGCATTGGGGGTCTAAACTCTTTTGAGCCACTTGACAGAGGAGAAAACTGAGGTTCATAGCCACTAAGTCAATTACCCTTAGGAATGGGGCTGCCAGAGTGAGATGAGTCCTCGTACTGCTTGGGCCTAGCTGCCCAGAATGAGGAGTCACAGCTGAGAACGAGGAATGCCATGGAGCTGGCCCAAGGGAAGGGAGGGAAGTGGTGGGCGCACGGGTGTTCTGAGTAGAGGGGCACGTGCAAAAGCTCATTGGGGGTGAATGGAAGGCTGGGGGCTGACTGGGTCGGTTGAAGTGCTTGCCAAGCAGGCTTAGGACTGAGCTCAGATTCCCAGCACCCTGTATAAAGCCTGTACCCCAGGTCTACGGGGAGAGGCTAAGAGGGAGGGAGACAGGGGATCCCTGGAGCTCATTGGCCAGCCAACCTAGCCAAATAAAGAGCTTCAGGTTCAGAGACTCAAAAACTAAAGGTGTTCTGAGAATGGTGCACAGCGTTAATCCCAGCACTTGAGAGGCAGAGGTGGGCAGGTCTCCATAGAGAGTTCCAGGTCAGTCGGGACAGCACAGTGAGACCTTGTCTGTAAATAAGGAACACGATTCAGGGAGACACCTCAATGTGTGTAACACACATACACTTAGTACATACACCCCACCCAATGTAAGCTTCTTTTGTTTTGTTTTTGAAGACAACAGTTTCTCTGTGTAACCTTTGCTGTCCTGAAACTCGCTCTATAGACCAGGCTATCCTCGAACCAGAAATCCACCTGCCTCTGCCTCCTGAGTGCTGGGATTAAAAGTGTGCACCACCACCACCTAGCTCCCAGTGTAAACATTTAAGAAGAGAGCATGGAACCCAGCACCCGAAGCATGTTCTGACACCTGGAGCATTAGCCTGGTACTGGACTGAGAAGTTGAAGAACAGGTTCTGACCAGATTAGGCAAGGCTTAATAAGCTTTTTTTTTTTTTTTTAAGTTCATACTCCTACCTTGAAGATGATTAGGAAGCCAACATAGTGGTTTTGTGTTTTTTCAAGACAGGGTCAGACTATGTAGCTCTAGCTATTCTGGAATTCACAATGTAGACCAGGCTAGTCTGAAACTCAAGAGATCACCTGCCTCTGACTCCCAAGAGCTGGGATTAAAGGTGTGAGACATTACACCCGCCAGAGTAGTGTTCTAATCAGGAACTGGATTAGACGTCAAGAGTGAGTTTATTTCTATGAAAAGCACTTCTCAGCCAAAGCTTTCACTTGGCCTCCTGCATGGATTTGGCCCTCAGTAGGAGGCAGGCCCAGGAAAGGATAGTGGTTGCCTTAGTTGAAGAGTCCCGTGGAAGCCCTGGGCTGTCAAGTAGAGCTTTCCCTTATCTGACCTGCTGACATCAAGCAGTGTGCCTGGGACACTGCCTTTCTGGCCTTCTCTGACTTCCCTAGTTCTCTACTGCTGCCCCACCCACCAACCAGTCAGGGCCAGTTTCACTAGTCCTGTTCTGTGGATCTGAGCCCCCTTAGAAAGGTAGGCAGTGCCCACCCTTCAGTTCTTAGGATTTCTCTTCATGTTTCCCTGTCTCATGTTGGCCCTCACAATGTCAGACCCTCCCTTCTTGTCTGACTTTCCTCCCACCTCCTGCAGATGAGTTCAAGGAGCTGATTCTCACCCTCTGTGACCTCATTCGCCAAGGCCAGCTCACAGCCCCCGCCTGTTCTGAGGTTCCACTGCAGGACTACCAGCAGGCCTTGGAAGCCTCTATGAAGCCATTTGTGTCTTCAAAGCAGATTCTCACCATGTGATTGTCGCAGAGGACCAGGAGGAAAGCAAGAGTGGAGACCAGTAAGTCTGGCAGGCTGCCGGCCCTTCTGTGAGGACCCCATCTTCCCCAGGCTGCCTTCTGCTCACTGCCTCTTCCCTCTAGGAGGATGAGAAGCCGGCCTCCCTGAGGACAGGATGAAGACTAGAGGTCATCCCTGTGGAGGACTGTGCACCTGCTGCCTCACAGCACCAGGAAGCCCCTGCCCTGCCTGACCACTCTGAATGCAGAGGCTGGGGGATTGCTGCCAAGTCAGAAGTCACACCCTCAGCAGTGTGAGCCCTAGGGTCTGGCAGAGGGGGAAAGGTGGTTAACTTCTCCCAGAGTGTGTGTCTGTCCAGGGCAAGGGGATCTGCTGCCAAGGTGAGTGCCAGGCTGAGATCATTAAAGCTTAAGAGACCAGAACACAGGATCTCAGGTGTCTGGGCCACCTTGAGGGGACTTCCTTTGTAACTGAGGGAATAAACATTACACCTGTGGCTCTCAGCCAGGGGCCATTTTTAACCCCAGAGGAACACTTGGCTATTGCAGCTTGGGGAGGGAGTTGTTATTGCCGCAACTGTGCAGAGATCAGTACTGCTAAATATTTTACAGCAGGGCAAGGTAATACACACCTAGAATCCCAGGAATCGGCAGGCTTAAGTCAGCTGGACTGCCACATGTTGGAAGCCAGCTTGGGCTATAAACCAAGACTGTCTCAAACTTTCTTTCTTACAAAGGGGACCAGGAGTATAGCTCAGTGACAGAGTGCTTATCTAGCATGCAACAGGCCTTGGGTTCCATTCCAGTAACTGTCAAAAGAACAGATAGAGCGCCCAGGACCACCTCCCACAGCGAATGATCCTGCCCAAAAGGTCCCTAGTGGTGCTATTGAGAACGCCAGCATTAAACCCCCAGGTGGAGCCACTATGACTGGTGCTATGCAGAAGGCATGCAGGGCTGCAGACACCTGGGCTTTGGGCAAGGCTTGCTCGAGGTGCAAGGTGACAAGCTGACTATGAAAAACAAGTTGTTTTATACAAGCTAAAGGAGTCTGGCTTTCTCATTTTTGCTTCATGATCATTTTGCCCAAAGCAAAGCACAACAACTTGGAGTTGTCTCCTTTGTCAGCTGATCCATTCATTGTACCTTCATCTCAGAGTCTCATTCGGGGAACATTTATTGAATGTTTAGTGTGGCCTAGTGTGAGGCCATTACAGTAAAAAGGGCAAAGCTGGGAGAGGACAGAGGTTCAGCTCAGTCAAGGGAGGGAGGCTTCATGAAGGCAGTGTTGTTTGTAGAATTTTGAAGACCAAGTAGGAAATGTGGACCAAGCAAAGCCAGCAGCTAGTTTTCTGAATGTGAGAGAGGTCCTGGGCCTTGGGAAATCACAACCTGAAGCGTGAAGCTACTGCCTAAGAGGCTGCAGCTTGAGCAGAGGTGGGAACGTGTGTGTGTGTGTGTGTGTGCGTGCGTGCGTGCGTGCGTGCGTGCGTGCGTGCGTGCGTGTGTGTGTGTGTGTGTGTGTATCAGGTCACAGAGATCCTTTAGGTTAGAACCTGCCTGAGAGCATGAGATTTCAAGGCAGTGATAATGTGCACACAGCCTGGGAGGCTATGACTGCGTGCCGGTGTGCACACAGTCTTCCAGCTTACTCAGCTTGCCTCTGGGAACATCTGTGCTCTCTAGAGGAAAGGACTGCTTCAGCCCAAGGCTGGGGCAGGTCAGCAGATGCCTCCTGAATAAAATTGGCTGCCTTGTACACCTGGGCTCAGAATCAGCTTCAGCCTGTTCCTGTGCCCCTTTATGTCCTCTGGGTTGTTGGGATAGGTGTTTTGCACCAAAGGTCCCTGTGGACAAATGAGAAAACCTAAGGGTACAGGAAGGCAGCCCAGAGGCAGCAGGAATAAAAGGTAGGGGAGTCACAAAGTTGGAGGTTAAAGCCTACAGCCACAGTAAGGGAGGCCATGTTCCAATCCAAGATGGCAGGTGCAGAGGATTTCTGCACAAGCATAGGAATCAGCCCAGGAAGAACAGTGAAGGGAGCTTCATACTTTTAGAGGTATGAGGTTTGGGTCTTCAGTCATCTACTCAGGAAGGGAAGACAAGCTGCAGGACTCAGCCCAGGTAAGCAGTTAGAGCTGGGGCACTGCTGGCTGACCCTTGATTTCCCCAAACACTAGCTATGTTAAAACCTGCAACCTTTAGGGGTGGACCTAGTAGGCCATAATCAATGTGCTTCCGTCTCCCTTGCAACTAACAAGACTGAGCACTGTGATATGACAGGTATAGGTTGCTAGTGTCTTAGAACCTTGTTCAAATGAAGCCTCTATGCACTGTCTTTCTCCTTCTACCTTCCCATCCAATTTCAAACAGGATTCCTGGAGCGTACACAGCCGTGTCTGACCCGGTAAGAAAGACACAAAGTCAGAGGAACCTAGGACACACCCATACCTCCGGACCCCAGCTGCCTACCTCAGAATCTCCGCTTAGTTCAGCCCCTTGTATTGTCATTTAACTGATTAATCATCTTAAGTGATTTCCCCAGAACTAAGCCAAGCTGCAGCAAAGGGTGGCAGGCGGTGTAGCAGGTCAGGAGACTCATTGAGACGAAAGACAGTTGAGAAGGCAGAGGCTCCGGAAAGATCCTCGGGCAGTGCAAGGACAGAAGCACTGGAGAGGATAAAAGGAGAAATCCCCCAGCTTCCGAATTTCAAATCCCTCCCCCCACCCCACAGCCAAATTTTGAAGACCATTTAATGGGTGCCAACACTTCAGAGGCCAGTAGGGAAAACAGACAAAAATAATGATTTCCTTTGCTCCTTCTCTCTACAAAGGCAGGACACAATTGTCACCCTTCTGGCCCATTAAACACCCTTTGTAAATGGAGCCCTAGGTTCCCAAATAACCACAACCTCCTAAAACAAAGCTGGAGCACACCTGCAGCCTTAACAGGGCCTGGCTCTGCCTCCATGTCCTCTTCTGGGAGCATCCATCCCACAATTCCACGGTGTCTGCCACAATGTTGATGAGTGCCTGTGTCTTCAGGGGAAGACAGAAAAGGGAGAAGGGTGCTTGCACAACCTTGTCTCCCCCCCTTTTTTTTCTATTTTTCTTTTTTTGGCTTCTAAAGACAAGGTTTCTCTGTGTATCTTGGAACTCACTCTGTAAACCACGCTGGCCTCGAACTCAGAGAGATCCGCCTGGTCCACCTGCTTCTGCCTCCCTCCACCACCATCCAGTCATCACTTTTCTTGTCTGGAAGGGTTTAGCAAGCGGGCAGGCCTTGACCATGGTAGATAGGTGCTCTACTGCTGAGCCACTTCCTGCGTGATAAATTGCTACTGTACAAAGCAAACCTTAAAATTAGTAGAAAGGGATGGAGAGCTGGCTCGGCACTTTAAGAGCATATACTACTCTTGCAGGAGACCAGAATTGTGTTCCCAGCACCCATATTAGTCAAGTGGCTCACAACCACCTGTAATTCCAGCTCTAGGACTTGACATCTGGCTTCTGAACTCATATGCATATTGTGAATTAAATTTTTTTTTTTAAATCTTCACACCTCAAACCAAGTATGGTGGCTCAGACCTGTGCCTCCAGCATCTAGGAGATAGGAGGATTAGTTTAAGACCAGTCTCAGCCACAAGTTCTAGGCCAGCCTGGTCTATGTGTGACCTTACCTTCAAACAACATCAGAATAAAAAGACAGAGTGAGAAAGCCTTTGAATTATAACATAAATTTAGGGGTGGGGCACTTACATAAATTTTTTTATATGACAAACACAATAGGGCCAGTAAGAAGGTTCAACAGGCTTTAAAAAAAGTGTCACACAAGTCTATGAGGACCTGAGTTCAATTCCTGGGTCATACTATGAAACGTAGAAGCATTTCTTTAAAGTCCTCTGACTCTATGCATGCATTCACACATGTGCACGTATGCATGCACACACACATAACACAGACAAAATAACAATGCCAAAAAACACTGGTGAGATATTTGCAATTCATTTGGCAAACTGCTGATTTTCCTACAGTGAGCTAGGCAAAGGATAAAACACACCAAGGAAAATGTGTCAAGGTGTGTATACCAAGTGTGTGCAGATGCCCTCAGAGGCTAGAAGAGGACGTGAAGAAAGGTTCACTCCTTCAAAAGATTATATAGCCTGGAAGATACCACTTTCACTGGATTGACAGAGATCAAAATATCTGATAACATGAGACACAACAGCTACCAAGTTATACATGCTAAACCAGGCATGGTGACACATGCCTGCATTTTCAGCACGCAAGAGGTTGTGACAGGAGGCTGCTGTGAATTCAAGGCCAGCTGGGATATGGAGACTGTCCCAAAATAAAGAAAATGCTCATACCCTTTAGTTTTCTGAGGATCAGACTAGGTTAGACAAGTATTCTGTCAGATATGTCCTTAATGATATTCCTATATAGATCCTACTTGGTCACTGATTAAGGCAGTTATAAAACCCAAAGGCTGGACCCTGTGTGACTATGTTAAGTTACTGTGTATAAAAGGTGTGTTATGAGACAAAAATGATCCTTAGTGCATTTCATAAGATTCTGGAATTATTTTCAAAAGAGCCAAAAATTAGGTACGATGACACCTGAAATATCATATTCTTAGAAGGCTGTAACAGGAGGTTTCTGGAAGTCAAGGCCATTTGATATAGAAAGTTCTTGTCTGAAAAAAAAAACCTAAGCTGTATAGTAAATTAACTAATAAAAATATTTAAGGAACTGCTGGGAAGGAAAGCTAAGGAAGCAGAAGAGAAAATGGCAAAACTTTACACTGAACATCAGTTGAATTGATTATGCAGACGAGAAACAAAACCCATCAGTGACTGGGTAAAACTGAAAGGGAACCAATCAAAACTGAGTTCACTATGACCCAGAACAAGCACGTCTATGCCATTTGGTTATTCTGGCAGCACAGTGGACACCTATAGATTACATTCTTAAAGGTTAGAAAACTTTTCTGTCATGCCTCATCTAGCTGCAAGGTATTAAACTCGGGAGGCAGACGCAGCCAGACCTCTGTGAGACCAGACTAGTCTACATAGTGAGTTCTAGGACGGCCAGGGCAATAGAGCTTGTATCCAAAATAATAATCTGAGATGTAACTCAGGTAGAGCACTTGCGGGTTCGGTCCACAACAACACAAAATAGTAAGGAATCGTTTATTTGAACACTGTTTTACGTACCTAGTATCATAACTGTCAAGACAATACTACAAGGAAGATAAAGGAGGCTCAGAGACCTGAGAGAAAAGGAAATGGGCTCAAGGTCGCGGATCCACAAACTTCCCACCCGGAACGTTGACCCGCAAACCGCTCCGACGCAGAAACACTCTCGGCAAAAGGACAAAGGATGGACCACCCGCTCGGCGCGCCCCCGCGCACACACTTCCGGGGGAGGTGCCGACGCCACGCCGAGCTCGCGAGAAGACGTGCAGCAGCTGTCGCTCAGCCGGCCAGGCCCCGCCCCGCGCCGGCGCGCCTCCAGGAAGGCCCTTCCCCCAGCTCTGGCCGGGCGGGAAGCGGGCGCGCGCTCCCTCCCGTTCCCCTCCGCCCGGGGTGGGGGGAGGGCGCGGGCCGCGGGGGCGCGCGTTCTCGAGCTGCGTGCTCGCGTACGTCGCCGGGCTTCGGCTGCGTCCGTCCCGCCGCCCGCCCGTTACCGCCGCCGCCGCCGCGCTTTCCTTTCGCCGGCCGCCGCCTGAGGGGGGCCGGGGCCAGCCGCCGCCGGGATGCCGCGGGTGTACATCGGCCGCCTGAGCTACCAGGCCCGGGAGCGCGATGTGGAGCGCTTCTTTAAGGGCTACGGGAAGATCCTGGAGGTGGATCTGAAGAACGGGTGAGGAGGGCGGCGGAGGGCCCGGCCGGGGGGGGGGGTGCTGACAGGGCCGCAGCGGTGGCTGGGAGGCCGCGGCGACGCGAGCGCAGCGCTCTCTGGGGCGCTAAGCCGCCGCAGGCCTCCTCTTCTCCGCCATGGCGGCGGCGCCTCGGGGGCGCGGGTAGGCCCGGCTCCCACTGCGCCTGCGCGGGCGGGGGTGGTGGCGGGATAATGGGGACGGCGGCCCGGGTTGGGCTGGGGCTCCGGGCGCCGGGGAGGCCTGGGTTTCCCTCTCTGGGCCGCGGGACCGAGGCCTGGTTCGTCTCTGGGGAGAGGTGGGCCTTTCCCGCTCTGAGGCTGCTGGGAGCAGACGAGGTTTCCGGCTCCCTTCTCCCTGGTCGCCAGCCCGCCGGGCCGGGCCAGAGGGTTCCCGGCGCGTGTTTCCGGGGACAGGAGCTCTGGCTTTTTCTGTGTGCCACACTTTTTTTGGGCGGGAGCCTCTAGTTTGAGTAGTGTAGTGACAGTTTCGAAAGTATCGTCTTGCCGCGCTGAAAGCTTTTCCCCGCTCCCTTTACGAGAGTAAATTAAAGTGCTAGCTCGTTATCTTGGGGGAGTCCGTACAGAGTTTCTAGGCTGGGGTTTCGGCTCTCCAACCTGCCAGAAGATGTCTGCTGTTGGAGGATTTGCTGAGTGGGTAGTGGCCACCCTGGCCAGGTCTGCGTCGACTCCTGGTGCAGGTGGAGACACAGATCTCAAAATTGCCTGCTTAACAGCCTCCCCCGTGCGCTCTGGGCGTGTAGCCCTAATCTGCTTTGGCGGACCAGGGCTAGCCGAGGCTACCAGCTGGCTTCAGGGGGAACGGGTGAGCCGTGCAGCCCGGAGAAGATATTCGCATATTTTGCTTGGGAGCTGAGGAATACTAAGTCGGACTTGAAAGGCGTTAAGCAGCGGAACGGAGTTGGAGGCTGTAAGCCTGAGGAGCCCTTAGTTTTGTTGCCTTTGTTGTTTGGCTGGTTTCTAAGACTTTGCCGTTGGTCCGTTGAGACCAGTAGTAACTGACATTTGAGAAGAAATTCCCTTAATATGAGTTGCACATGAGCCAGCACGTTCTCAGACTGTCTGGATTTCGAATTGACACTTAGAAGAATCTCCTTGCTGAGAACAAGACATCGGTGAAATGTTCATAGACTACTGGGTTCGCATAAAGGGTTTAGACAGTTTATTTTGTTAAGTGAACTTACGGAAAGTATTAGACAACGTTGAGAGGATTGCTTTTTTGTGGTCCTTACCTTACATGTGAGAGATTATCCCCACCCACCCCTTTTTTCCCCTACAGTCCAAGTAAGTTGACAGAATAACTCTGGGTGAAACATGGGTTTTGGAAGTTAGATAAGTGAGAGTCAAATCCTGGGTCCTCAGTTAACGTTTCTTTGAGCAAGTGACTTAGTTATTCTGAACCTGTTTTCTCGGTTGATACTTTGCCGTACACTGTACTGAAGCATGTCAGCTCTTAAGAGTCTGAGAACAGTGTATTATTTGGTGAGGTCTGTTTTCTCAGGGTGCGGATGAGAGTTGGAAAAGGTAGTAGGGCAAAACTGAAGGGTGATTCAGATGTGTGCCCCCAACAGGATGCCCACATGTGCTTCGTGATTGAGTAAGGGAGAAGTTTTCTGTTCCTGACTAAACTGATTGTCATATATTTTGAATCAAGGAATACTGGTTCTCAGTTAGAACTCAGACAAGTAAAATGTGGAATAGTTTACTGAAATTGATTCTTTTTTAACTGTTTATTTTTATGTTTTGTGCATTGATGTTTTGCCTACATGTTTGTTTGTGGTGTCAGATCCCCTGGAAATGGAGTTAGAGACAGTTGTGAGCTGCCATGTGGGTGCTGGGAATAGACCCCAGGTCCCCTGGAGAAACAGCCAGTGCTCTTAACGCCGAACCATCTCTCTAGCCCAGAACAGATTTTTCCTAAAATGAGCTTTGAAGTGTGGATTTACTAGGGCTTGAAATGAAGAAAGAGAAGTTTTAATTGGTGGAAAGGTGGTCTGGTAAGGACCATTTGGATGATACCTTCTAGCTGGATCAATCCTCATGAGGATCTAGAAAGTAACACCAAACCCCGAAACAGCTATTAAGAGTTTTCACTAGGGGGTTGGAGTGACTGTCTTCCCAGAGGACCTGGGTTCACTTCTCAACACCCATATAGCACTCACAACTGGCACTCCAGTTCATGGGAATTTGACTCCTCTGGTTTCCTTGAGCACTAACTAGGCAGGGCTTGCAGTGCACAGACATACAACAGACCATCCATACACATAAAAAAAAATTTTTTAAAGATAAATATAAAAATAAAGATTTTTTTAAAAAAAAGTTTTACACTAAATTTTAAATCATGATTAAAATTCAAAGGTTTTGAGGGAAGCATGGAACAATTCAGGGGAGTGCTCAGAGGACAGACACTCACTGCCTGGGTGCTTTAGGAATTCTCATTCTTATATACTGAATGATGGATGATGTGCACGAAATCCATCCTTATAGATCAAGGTTGAGTTAAGGAGTGCAAAGTATTTCTGAGATTTAAAGACAGGTGTGACAGACATCTTAATTCCACACAGTATGACCTAGCAGCACTCAGATCATTACAGAAGAAGATAACTTGAGGGAAGAAGACGACAATGTGTTTGAGATGCTGGGGAGGCTGAAGGAAGTGGAATAGAAGGAGATGTAGCTATGGGTGTGTGAGTTCATAGTTCAGCCTGGGGCAGTGGTGGACTTCCTTACAGGGAAGTGTCTGAACACTTCTGGATTGAAACTCTAGAACAGGTTTTGGATTAATAGGACTGTAAAGAATTGCTAGAGAGTTCGTTCACATTTGTTAAGGTGAGATATCTTGTAGGTGTTGGCAGATGGATTGTAAAGTTGAGAATTAATTAGGTAATGGGGTAACATAGTTTCTACTTGCAAAATAGATTTACTATTCAGGAGAGGATTTTGTGTATACAAGCACCTCAGTGTTTCCTTGCGCCAGGCAACCTGCCTCTTTTAGAGACAGATGGTTCTTCCTGGGACTACAGGTGTGATGCAAATCTCCCTGGGGCCGTGTTGACCTTACGCCTACCTGCCTCAGAGACCTGGTGCCACTATGGGCAAGAGTGGATCGATTGAATTCTGGGAGTGTCTCAAAGAGACAAAACTACTAGTACCTTTTCCCTATCCCTTCAGCTTTTATGGTGGCTTTTATTGAGTTTGATTACATGTAGTATGGAGTTTCTTTTTTAGCAGTAAATCACTTCGTTGTAATATCTAGACTTTTTTGTTTTTATGTACAAAATTTTCTCTCTTGCCACAGACATCTTGTAGTTTCAGTCACAGATCTTTTAGTTTTGAGTAAAACTTAATACATCCTTAGGTGATTTGATTTACCTGCTTAGGAACTAGAAGAATAGGTTTCCAAATCATTGAGGTTTTCTTTCTTTAACTAGCTGGCTAAAGTCCTAAGTTCAAGCACTCAAGGGAAAGTGAGCTGGAAATGCCGGAGCTGTGTTTGATGTGACAGTGAATGGTAGACGGCTAGAGTTTCGATAGAAAACTTGGGATTGGTGCTCAGTTTTCTTGTTTTCGTTTCGTTCTACTGGGTAGGTTTGTCTTTACCTTTGTTTAAAATTAGAGTAGTATGAAGCTTGGTGTGTGTGTTTTAAAACTCTTGTAGTGAGTTAGGTCCCTGTTGTGTTTCCCTATCCTAATCAAGTACCACAGGGCTTTATTTGCTGAGAGGAATCCATGCATTTTTTCCATGGACTGAAGCCTTCCCAGGAGCTTGCTCTTTAGAGGGAGAGTGAAGGAGGTCTAGTTAAGCTAATGTTATGGGTTATAGATTTCTGGTGAGTTGAGCGCTGCCAAATAGCAGGTAAATGCTTTGCTGTTAGTGATGGCACAAAGCTATACGCTCCCTAACAAAGTCCACTAACTTAAGATCATCCTCCAGCCTTAAAAGTAGTGTGCCACTTGAACTGTGTCTCTCAGTCATTTGAGTCTGGTTAGGAATTAATCATATTTTACTTTTTCTTCAAAATACAACATATTTCCCATTATGACAGTTCTACATTGCTTAACTTCTAATATTGGAAGGAGGGCAAAAGGTCATCCAGAGATGATTCTGCTTCCATTTGGAGCACATGGTCTGACTTTTTGTCACATCTACATCTTTCACACATACATTTCCTTCTTTCTTTAATTTTTTTTGGGTTTTTTGTTGTGGTGACTGTTTTGTTTTTTGAGACAGGGTCTCACTGAGTAGACCTGGTTGGCCTCAAACTAGAAGAGATCTGCCACTATGCCCAGCTATACATCTATGCATACATATATTCATTCCTTGTCTCTCTTCCCCCTTTTTTTCTTTCCTTTTTCAACCAACTTAGGGTCATGTGACACATGATTGCCTGGTTGCCTAAAAGCCTGGTCTGTCTTTGAATATTCTCTAAGTTCAACAACCTGCCTTGTATGAATTGTTGTGCTAAGGATCCAACTCCAGGCTCCATGTATGGTAGACAAGTCACTCTACTGCTGAGCCACACCTCCAGCCTCTGCAGTTCGACTTCATAATGATTATATAGAATTGCTGTATATGAATTCGTTTTAGGGTTTGCATTTAAAGCTAAGTTAGAACTGACATTTGGATTGTTTTTTGATTTTTCGCTATTTTATGCATATGTGACCCTGGAAAATGTTTTTATGTAAAACTTTTTGCACATTTTTAGGATATGGGGGTGCATTTTTATGTTTTCTGGTAGCCCTTGGTTTCCAAACTAATAGGTTTTATTTTATTTTATTTTGTGTGTGCTGGTGTTTTCCCTACATGTGTGCCTGTGCAGCATGGGTCTGATGCCAGAATAGACAAGGTCTCCTGGAAATGGAGTTACAGACAGTTGTGAGCCACCATGTTGGTGCTTGGAACTGAACCTGAACCTAGGTCCTCCGGAAAAACAGCCAAAGTGTTAGCAACTGTTGAGCCATCT